GCAACTACAAAGAGATACCAGAAGCATATGGTGTACCAGCTGTCTCTTATACACATCTAGATGTGTATAAGAGACAGGAAAAGCTTAGAATATTAAATATGTATCGATTCTGTATGAATATCACAAGATTACCTCATGATGTCAATTATAATTGACCCCCAGGCACTTTATTTGGTCAGGAAATAATGAAAGGAGTCTAAACTTGATAAGAGTTTGTTTCAACCTCTTAGTTGTCTGTGGAAATTCTATTTTAGAGATTTTTTGAAAATTCTTTGAAATGCTCAGTTTGTATCAAGCTTGTGGTAAGGTTTTATAACAAAATTATACAGGGAATGGAATGATCTGTCACACCCCTAAGCTCGATAGACAAAAATAGAACAAAACTGAATGCAACTACCTGTACTCTGTATGCAACTACTATGCTCAGCAGTGAAAAATGGGCTCCAGTTTCCCACACCGGCCCTATTGACTACTCTAGCCTGTTGGTATAAAAATATGACTTCTCTCTTTATATATTATGTGATATATATTCCCTATTTATCCATCATTTAACAACCAACTGAAAGGAAAATTTGAATATTGTAATGCGATTATTTAAAGTTAATTTTTCAAGATTAATTTTAATCGTACCTCACAAGTAAAACACCGAAAATTGCTATGACTCGGTTAGGCCTAAATAAAAAATAGCTTTGTAATTTAGACCTAAATGCCATATAGATGAATTACTTACAATAACTTTATACTTTGCATCTTCGACCACACTTGATATTTTGTAGCCGTGGATCCCTTGGTCTGCTGTAAGCGTTTGATTCTTCCACTCTTCGCTATTTCTTGATCTGTATCTCACATCAAAACTTATTATATTCCCATAAAGATTTCTGCTGAATGACTCAGATGGGTACACAGAAACGTTGAGGAATGAACCACCATGTGTTGCTGTGACTCCTGGAACTGGAGGTACTGGAAAATTAAACAGTGACAATTATTATAAGTTATAAATTTCATGCTGAAACGTATATTTGGACATTGAAATAATCATGTACTTTGTGAAACCATAGGGATTATTACGGCAGGGGCGCAGCAACCTACAGAGTTAATATTATTGGCCCTGGTTCTAGCGGAACGGCACACTCGCATATAATTCTGAAGGTGGAAGAAGTCTTTTCGGATAACGGACTATAAACCGTACACATTGGCTCATGTGCACTATAAAAAACCCAGTACACCTTTCAAGACGAGTAGAGGGTTAGACATTGCCTTATTGGCCTGTGCATGATGGCACAATGATCCTTAAGGGAGAAGTAAGTTGTAGTGATGAGTATTCCGCATTCATCTCAGACCCAGGCCGTTAACTGTGAAGTTAGGCTCTACATCTGGAAGAAGAAGAAGATATAGGTCCAGGCAGATTGCAGTCATTTTGTTACATAAGAAAAGGATAGTGTGTACAGAGGTTAGAAAAAGTACTTACCCTCTTCAGGTGAGAACACTTGTACCACTCCTGCCATCCCAGGGAAATTTTTGTTACGCGCTGTAACAGAGATGCTGTATTCTGTGTATGTTTCAAGTTCCATTATTGTATAAAAATCGTCAACGGTTGTTTTCTCATTGATCATGGACACGTCTGCGTTAACAGGTTTGTAAGATATAGTATAACGCTCTACGCCAATTGAACACTTGGACTCAGTAGCCTGGAGAAAAAAAAAACATGCACACACTTTCCAAGTATTTTTGATAGAAGTTTATATTTTCAGGTACAGGCAGTTTATATATATAAGAAGCAGGATACTATCCCTCATATTGTGTCAGACAGCTACTGCTAGATGAGGTCATCCAATTAAAAATAAAATGCCATTATTTTAATAATATCTCTATGCTGCCAGCAATGCAACTACAAAGGGATACCAGAAGCATATGGTGTACCAGAATTGGAGAATATAAAAGAACAATTTACCGTTAATCGTTGCCAAAAAATGTTGATTCTTTTAGGAAACTTGTAACTCGAATTTGCTCTGACTACTGGTGCTGATGGTTCTGAAAATAATATTAATAAAAGGAATGAAAGCAACTAACCATGACTTTCATTTGCGTAAATACGTTGAGGTAGACCATCGTATAAAAATTGTCATGTCATGCGACACACCTCAAAAGATAGGAACTGCTAACTGTCATCTAAGAAAGATGTCGTTAGCCATCCCCAAGTTTAGATATTCATTGTGAGTAAAAGTTTGTTATTCTACTTTAATATTAAATAATTATAATTATCTTCATAAATCATCATCATCACAATTTATTACCATCATTACCACCATCACCTTCATCATCACTGTCACCTTCGTTATCATCATCCTCATCATCATACAGAATTTTAAATTATCACCATCAACCTACATAAATCATCATCACGCTAAGTCATAAATCAGCATCACTCTTAATCATCTTCACCATTACAAATCACCATCACCTGCAAAATCACAGATCACCATCAACATCACCATGATTAAATAAAAAAAAGATTCAAATGTGTTTACCTCCACAGACTGTTGATGCAGTTAGCTCATTACTTCCCCTTGGACCTTCACCCCCAGCACCTTCCCTGACCGCTGCTATAGCAAAATCATATTCTTCTTCCCACCGTAAACCAGTCACTGTGGCTGTAAGACTGTTGTCTTGAGGCATGTGGCTCCAGAGCCCAGATGATGAAGACCGTCTGTAATATAGAACATATCCAATAACAGGACCATCACCACCATCTCCACTACTGGTACTCCAGTTCCTCCATCTCAATTCCACTGATGATCCAGTAACCGTCAGTGAGCTTGGTTGTCCAGTATACGTTGGTAATGCTAGTTGAAAAAACGTACAATAAATTCAAAATAATTAATAATCCATTCGTTACAATCATGACAAACCACTGATATTTAACATTAATTACATAATAATAAAAGATAATGCAAAAAAAAAGAAAAAAAAAAGACTTACCAAAGAGATTAAGTGAATGATCTGCATATGCTGTATATGGATCCCTAGCAAGTCTGCAGATATATGTAACAGTAGGATTTGCTTCACCGGTAAATGTAACCCTGGTAACCCCATTTGCTTGTGTGCGTGCAGTTTCTGCAGCGGGTTGACTACCAATAAGGAACTGGATGGTAACACCAGCCACATTACCTTGAATGTCACATTGGAATGTAGAAATCTGACCTGGATTAACTTTTGTGTTAGAAGAAGCAGAGATTCCTACAATAGCAAGAAGCAGGAATAAAATATATACAAAAACATATAAATTATGATGAAAATATATTGCCTCTTGTAAGACTGAATTTTTTAAAATAATTAATATTATTTAAAACTTGTTTGGTTCAGTAAACTAAGTCTAATTATGAGGCTTAAGGAAATTAAACAGTTTTGACAGGATATGTACCCAAGATATTAAAATGAATTAAATCATTTAATTGTCATTTATACTGGGATACATGTTCAGTATCAAGCTATTGTTCTCCACACATCGTCCAGTATAATACTTGTGGAGTTAAGCTGTTTTAGTGGTGAGAAAATTTCTGGCTTTTTAGAAGATTTGAAAGGCAAATTTCTTGCTTGGATCCCGTTAATAAACTAAAAATATCCTACCAAAACTTTTTAGGGGGTCTTTTTAAGTGGTGAATTAGGCAGAATACCAAGAGGCAATCGCCTACTCTTTTTACTGCGGTTTAATGCGTTCTTTATTGTGCACTTGGGTCACATTGCACACGAGACCAACGACTTAAATGTCTCATTCAGAAAACGTGCGCTATTGAAATTTGCATTTTAACACTCGTGTTAAAACGCAAGAAGACTGGGGATAAAATTGAAGTTCAGGGCACACTCAGTGGCTGTTAACTGTTTTGCCAACATTCATAAAGCTCCACGACTATTTCTTTAAATAAATACTTTGCTTTAATGAATGGTACTTCTTTGGCTAATAACTATAGAAGGGATCTTTCAATTGAACATTACTAAACTAAATGAAACCTATAATAATAATAATAATAATAATAATAATAATAATAATAATAATAATAATAATAATAATAATAATAATATTAATAATAATAATAATAATAATAATAATAATAATATTAATAATAATAATAATAATAAAATATTAAAGTATAAAATACACATGAAAATAATAAGAAAAATTTAGGGGATAGTCGACTAAGCACATTGTATGTTATTGTCTAGAAGAATGCACCCATCCATGTTCAGTTCATAACTAGTACGGTACTGTAATAATATTAATAATAATAATAATAATAATAATAATAATAATAATAATAATAATAATATTAATAATAATAAAATATTAAAGTATAAAATAGACATGATAATAATGAGATAAATTTAGGGGATAGTCGACTGAGCACATTGTATGTTATTGTCTAGAAGAATGCACCCATCCATGTTCAGTTCATAACTAGTACGGTACTGAACGTTTAGGTAAATTAGAGATTTTAGAGATTTATCTGGTTTACTATTTATTACCATGACTTTCGAAATGAACATTGTTTTAAACAAATCATTAATGTGGATTTTCTTTACCTGTAGTGCAGGAGTTTAACAACCAATTATCGTGGCAACCGCCATTACATCCAGTTACATAGTGACATGAGGTAGAATTACAATTGCAAGTAGAAGCACAGTAGTAACCATAGCTCTCAGATTGGCAGGCTATTCAAAGTAAAAAATGATAAAACTTTTTGTACATATTGAGAAGTAGGACCATTAATTAGAATAACTTAATTGTCTCTGGCAAAACAGAGTTTACTAAAATCAGTAGGGAAGGGCAGTTTCTTTTCATTGTCAGTGCTCAATTAGGAAAAATGGAAATATACTCTAATAAGTTTACCCAGAAAAATATTCACGAAAAAATAGACGACCACTGTAAAAATTAAATAGGGTTTATAATGTACACACAACAGGTAAATATATTTTAAATTTCAACAAAACTAAGTAGTATTTGTAAGGGTAGGAATGTTTTTTTCTTTGAAATGTACATCTATTGACCTTTCGGAGAATAAAATAATTTTATTTTCTTTTAAATACTTATTGTAGCTGTAAACATTTTTGCCTCTGCAAATTTACTTTTGGAGATTATAATTAATAATGCACCAATTTTTCTCACAAATTTCCAACTTCTAAAAATGCACATAGCCTACTCCTGTTATTTCTACGTAATAATTTATATAATATTATAGATCCAAACAATATACAGTCTGCAAAACTAGAGTGAGGTGTGTGCCAAGGCAATGCAAAAATGGCATGGCAAATTGGTGGGAGTTGGAAAAGATGGGATAGACAAAACGTAGTTGGTTGTTGAGCGTCCGCTCATGTTGTTCTGAATGTGGGTGCGGAACATTGAAGTCTAATATTTGTGGTATGGTGAGGCAGATTTTACAGTCATGGTCGTGCGTTGCGTTAGCCATGATTATTGTATAGACCACGTATTGCGTACAATTAAGCGTACAATTTGTGACAGAAATTCAAAATATAACGTACGCTAAGTTATTCATTTGATCTATTGTGCAAATCAGGACTACAGACGGAAAAACAAGCGAACAATGTGACGTACGGTAGTATCATGAATCACACACTGTGTCAATCTAAATTACCACGTCATTAAAGTGAGGTCTAAAAAACCCTATTTTGGCCTGATAATGATAATTAAAATGTTTGGCTATACGTAACGTTAATAGGAAAACTTCCCTATTAAACACACTACACACACACATACATGTTTCAAGAGATATACTGTACATGTCTTATTTTGTGTATTCCGCCAAATTTCTATACATAATCGATATAAGCGCTCAGTATTGGTTTCGATTGCTTAGTACATTCTCATCAGAGGGCGTTCCAGGAACATTAAGTCAATTAAATATTTGGATTCATTGTTTTATGAAGAAACAGTGCTTTAAACTGTTTCTTATACATTCCCTGTACTTACCTTCACAAAATAATTTATCATATGTATGGTAACCTTTTGCACACAGTCCATTACTACATACACCAGTATTCCTATCACATTCAACATTATCACGGCAATGGCAAATTGATGTACAAGATGTGTTAAAATAGCCAACAGGACAAGTGCTTGGAACTGCAAAAAGGACAAATTAAGAAATCCATAAAACAAATAGTTGAGATGAAAAAATAGCAAAACATGAATATATTGTTATTAACTTAAAAATAATAGAATACAAGGTCTGTAATAAAATGTTTAAAAAACAATTATAGTATATAAAATTCATTAAAAAAAACCCTTCGTTTTTAAAAGAAATGGCATCCCCATCTTTGCTGCAAATTGAAAGGACTACTGAAAACTGCAATGCAGTGATATTTAAAATATATTGTATTATTAATATACATCTATTAGCAATAAGTTAACAGTCGTTATTGGGTGATTTTCTTGTTTTTAAATACTCACTGCAGTTTTATGATTAGGAAATACAACGATTGAGAGCAGGCAATCACATTTTTGCTTGGGAAGCAATCCCTGATACATCCTTTCATCCTTTTGGCTTGGTCCCATAATCGAGGCAACAACATACTCGAAGGTATTCTTTACCAACTATCACAGTATCACCTCCATTAACGGTTACCATTCATTATTTTGAGATTTTTCAACTGCCATAACAAATAGTTACCTTATCTTGAAATTATTTTTTTACGATAATGAACTCGATTATATCATACTATTTTCTCTATGATTATATTAGGACATAGTTTTGGTTTGGTAGATCACATTTCCTACAACAACGGCTATTCCTCGAACCAGTTACGCCCAGACGTAGTACCACAAGAGCTTAACATTTCCGACTACTTTAGGGAAATACGCCTTCAAATGCACATCAGGGTTAATATTAGGTCGGCTTTCCCTTTGAGATCAAGAAGCCCGATTATATAATTTTAGACTTCGGTGGTAGGTAATGATTTATGCAATTCACAATCTTTACCAGCAGATCAATTGTTTAATTTAATTACAAAAGTGCACACATTCAATCAGATCATTAAAGATAATTTGCAATTGCTTGACCTACTGTATCACGCTCACGAAGGGTTCTGGCAAAAAGGAATGGTCTAAGATGGAATACGCCTCAACACTTGCATTAGGACAAAATAATTATATAATGTCTCTCCGCAAAGCTCTTTTCTACGCTCTGTGTGTAACTCATTAACGATTCATTATTAGTCAATTAATGGCATTAGATCAATGCCAACCCCAGACATGTAAACATGTTCATTATATAATTGGACATTATGTTGGATCAGCATTATAATGAGTTTTATCGATAAGGTGATTCACATAATTATAGTTTTCAGAACTAATTATTATAATTTATAAATGCTTTATTAGGAAAATTAAAAATAAATAAATAAAAAATACGAGCTTGTCCCTATCAGTACCATATGTACACCCCACATCTAACAATCTTTGAACATTTCCATGGTAACAAAATAAATCACTGTTAAGCATAAAACCTTATCTTGGTAGAAATGCCTTAGGTTGAGTCCCTCAGCTCATTATAATATTAGACACCAAATCGTGTCACTATAACACTTGTAAGTTATATTCACGTCAAAGCACTAATATTCTGACAAAGTTGGACATTACACTATACACACAAAGTGCGCGCCCACGTATATTTTTTTGTTTCGTGTATGTACATATGTTCCCACGGAAACATGTCTTCAATACATTGACCTTTGTGCTTACTACATTTCAACCACTAATGCCTGCTTCTATCCCTACAACTTACTCTCCTCTATCGGGAGAAGCATTCGTTCCTACATTTCATAATCGTTTTTGCACTTTAATTATCTCCCCAGCTCTCCTCTATAAAGAGAAATACATCATTCATACAGCTCACAGCTCTCCTCTGTCGGAAGTATCCTCGATCGTGAGTATTGTTACATAAATGTTCGCCAATTGTGCCTCCGGCCCGGGTATATTCAACCTTTTTAAGCCGGGGGCCAGTTCCAATCTGTTGAGACCAGCGGCGGGCCGACATAAATTGTGTACTTCGATCTTGTCTATGTTGGCCCTACCCATTTTTTTTTATATAGTGGTGGATTCGAAATAGAATGGGCCGGGGAAGAAAATAAACCACCTCAGCCCCACCATGGTTGGGGCGAGGTCCAAAAAATTATGATTATGGCACCTCTAGATGGTCGGAAATGTCACTCTCAGAATTAAATCTGAATACGCTTTTCTTTTCTTCTCCATTTAAATTATCCTACCACAAAAATATCAACTCACCAGTGGTTGGGGTTGAGGTGAGAAAATTGTTAACGTAGATACCTCTATTCCTGGACATGGCACTTTCAAAAATTAGTTTTCAAAGCAAAATGGCCGGAAATGAGCTTTCCCGACTTCTGAGGAGTCTTTTAATGACCTTTAAGTTCTTCAAAATTCAAGGTTTTCCCCCTCTTGAGAAAAGGTCAGGTAATTTTATCTCATTCTTAAGCCTATCATAGAGGGAAAAAAATCAAAGACATGCAATATATTATTATATTCCAACAACATTGAGTAGTTAGATATGTAGTCTTTTTTCCATGGATCGATGAACCGATAGATAGATGTGTATAAGAGACAGCCTCTAGATGGTCGGAAATGTCACTCTCAGAATTAAATCTGAATACACTTTTCTTTTCTTCTCCATTTAAATTATCCTACCACAAAAATATCAACTCACCAGTGGTTGGGATTGAGGTGAGAAAATTGTTAACGTAGATACCTCTATTCCTGGACATGGCACTTTCAAAAATTAGTTTTCAAAGCAGTGTTTTCAGCAGAATACATGCCCTCGAGCCTGCTGGAGCAATCAATTGGAAGCAATCGCATCATATCAGCGCCCGATTTAATCCATTAGTCTAGCCTCTCCTCCATGTCAATAAATACCCTACGGCACTAGATCAGGAGTGGCACCAGCGGGGGGCCGGGGGGCCAGGGCCCTGTAGAGCCCACAAATGTAAAAATCTACCACAAATGTAAAACTAACCACAAATGTCAAAACATTCTACCCGTAAATGTTAAAATATCCGCAAATGTCATAACATGTCAACCAGAAATGTAAAAATAACCACAATTGTAAAAAATCGCCACAAATGTAAAAATCTGTTTTAAATACAAACGTAGAAACATTTCACCTACAAATGTAAAAATTTCCATTTTTAATGTTTTAATTATTTCCATGTCAAATGCAATTGTAAAAATTTTCATAAGCACTTAAATCCTTAAATATTGAAAAACCTTAATTAATTGCGCATTTTAGTAGATCAGCTAAGGGCCAAGTTGTACACTTTATATACCAAAGCATGAAACTTATACAACATATCTTTAATATGTGTAAATTTAAAAAAAAAAGGTTTTGCTCCAAGCTTCTGACGCCTGCTATGGCCGCCATTTTGAATTTAAAATGACCGCCTCTAAAAGACGGAATCAATATATATTTTGGCAACGGAAAATCGTACAGACTTAATTTTCTCTAGTAGGATTTTGTCAAAAAGTGATCGGAAATGGCGTTCTTTTACCTTTGAGCCTATATGACCCAGCATATCCATATCTCCAAAAAAAAAATAGTCATAGAGATCTAGTTTTGGCCTCAAATTTTTCAGAACATGCATGTTCCTATTATGCAACATGTTACCCAGAAATGAAGTTTATGACCTTTTGACCTTAGGTACCCTGTAGGATATTTATATCTCCATAACCTGGTCATAGAGATAGTTTACCCTCAATTTGTTCGGAACATATTTCTATTTGCACTAATGTAACATATTGTCTAAAATTGACCGGAAATACAATTTCTGACCTTTGAACCAAAAGACCTTATAGCATATTACCATTAAACCTAAGCCTCTATTACCATTGGTCATGTACACCTAGTTTTGGCCTCAAATTGTTCAGAATATGCATGTTGCTATTTGACCTACTGTAACGTTTTGTCCAAAAAGAGATTGGAAATGACATTTCTGATCTTTGTAGCATAGGCAGATCTCAGAATGGTCTCAAAGTATTCGGAGCATACATGTATATATTTGCTCTAATGCATGCAATATATTGTCAAAATGTGACTGGAAATGACCTTTTGACCTTTGAACTCTGATAACCAGAATGTAGATCAGAACATACTGTACATGTTTCTATATGTGTTTGTCTTATTGTGAATATAAATGGTAATTTGGACCTTATATCCACATCTTCCCAAATTTAGAGACTTAATTATGGTCTGAAATGCCAAGATAAGCATTTGTTTACTTTCAATAAAAATGTTGTCGACAAAATGCCGAAAGTACTTGTTTATTTGGTCTTTGGCCCTAGTTATGTTTGTTTTATTAAAAGAAAAAAAAAGTCTACCTAGGATACTCTTGCGACTCTTGAATAATAGTAATAATAATAAGAATACACTTGTAGACTAAAAGAGCATAATGCACGAAAAACTCCTTTTTGCTTCAAATTATATAATAAATAAAATATATAGATAAACAAATACACACACACACACAAAAGAAAATACGAAGAAATGGCACAAAAAATGAATATGTGGCGATCAGCCACAAGCAGGGCGCTCTTTGGAAGAGAGGGCTGTATTTATGAGATGAAGAGGAGAGGATAATAAATGATGGCGGATGGAAACACATGTGTCTGTCTCCGTGTGTGATCTTTCACTGTGTATGGATGTCGATTATTGATCGAGTTCCTGGCAGAATCGCCACAACACTGTATACCGAATCTCCGAGCGGTCACCGTCACCACCCTAACCCATCGCAGGACCCTATCTAAATGGCTCGAGTAAAGGAATGTGAAACACCTTCAAGGATAGCAGCCTGGTGCTTCACTAACAGGCCTATTTGCATTACTCGAAAATTAATGAAACGCATATGAAAGAATTGTTGTAGGTATTTTAATTGGACGGTATGAAGCCAAATTATCTTATCACATATTAACTTTTCTGATCCCCTGGCTTCCATTCATGATGGGCCACTTCGTTCTCATTAGTCCTAATGTAATTCATCACTCTGGAATTATTCCACTGCCTACTTTATGGCTGTTTAGAAAAAGAAAAGAAAAAGAAAACCTCCCCAGACGTCATTAGA